TTTTTTTTTTTTTTTTTTTTTTTACCTGATATCGCTGAGACAGATCAGTCCAGACTGTCCTCTTCAGTGTGGTCTTCTTCTTGCACGGTGAAGTGCTTCCTTTACCATATTTAGAAATCAAATTGTGAAACTCTACAAAGAGTAAGTACGTACTATTCCACTTAAGCTAGGTAACTTAATTTCATGCTACCATGGACCACAACGCATCACTGTGCTCAAAAGCGGTCATACCTGTCCCTGTCCATTGGCATTCTCAGTCGTTGATCCAAAGAGGCTGCTTGAATCGTTGAAAACTGCTCAACGAACCTCTCCAGCATGAGGTAGAGAGAGTTCCAGCGAGTTCGCACATCCAGAACACACACACACACACACACACACACACACACATACATACACACACACATATATATATATATGTATATGTATACATGTATTTCTTTAAATTTCTATAAATTATGTTTACTTAGTCTATTTCATGACCAAAAAGATAAATAAATGAATAAATACAAAATGAAAAATGAGAAAAAAAACAAGCATGTTTTTATTACCAACTGGCATTAAAACAACTACCATCAACAGTTGTTGTTTGTCTCAGCTGCTTTTCTATTTCACCACTAGAGGGAGACATTGCAACATATATGCACAAATGGTAGCTCTCCATTTGAAATGATGGACATCATTTCCTGTGTTAAACCATATATTGTAACCTGGGTACATGTTAAATTGGCAGCTGTAAAATTTTGGCCCCATAGTACTGACATTGTGTCATACATTTCAACAGCTGTGATATCACTGGAGCGTAAACACCTCATCTGTCAACAATGGATAAATTCAAATGTCTTTTTCAATAGCTGACCATTTTGCATCACAAAATCTGATGGATTTTTGTGCAGTGAAATAAAATTAAATTAAGTAATTATTTACAGGATGATATGGAGTTCATGTCCACCTTGATAAACTTATGGTTGTCCTGTTACCGTGGGCCACAAACACTGGTCTCTTCCTTCCCTTTCTCGTATTACTGTACAGCATTTTGCAGTGGAGCCTCTGCAAAATGCTCAGAGAGTGATTTATTTATTTTTTGCACGGACTGGGGACTAAAAACTATAAAACTGACCTAATACCATGGAGGTCACCCCAGAATGCGGAAGTTGAAATTGTCCTAATATTTCCTTTTTAGTGCACATTTAGGGCTGGTCTTGTTACTTTGTAAATGTGACCAGACTGACCCCAGATTTGGGAATAATTGATTGATTAACTAATAGATCATAATATGATCAATGATTTTTAAAGGTCCAGTGTGTAGGATTTGGGCGATAGATTGGCAGAAGTGGATTAATCTATAACAAATATGTTTGTTATGCGTGTTTGTTATGTATAATCACCTGTAAATAAGAATTGTAGTGTTTTTGTTACCTTCGAGTTTGCCATTTATATCTATATAGGGAGCGGGTACTCATCTATGGAGATTGATATGTTCACTGCTATGCTTCTGTGGACAAACCAAACACAGGCTTTAGATTGGGCCATTTGCGTTTTTGCAATTTTTCATTGGCCACTGTAATGTCTAGCCCTTCCATGAGGAGAACGTTGGAGAAACACTGATTTGTAACATGATACTGCTTTAATCAATGTTTCTAGCAGTTTTTATCACCTGCTCCATTTGTTTGGCGAGGAAGAGACCTCTGCAGATAATTCAGCTCTTGGTAAAAAACCTCCTGAACAATGAATACTTAAGGAATTCTAACCAGGAGAAGTTTCAGCTGGTTGCAATCTGCATCCTCACCACTAGACGCCACTAAATCTCCCTAAATCTTACACACTGTTCTTTTTAATGTTGTGTTCACACTGGGCGCAAATGAAACAATTTGCGCCAGTGAATAACAAGCAAGGTCAATGTAAAGGCGTGATTAGATGCAAATTCCCACTAGGCAGTGCAATTGACATGTCACGATTTCGCGTCATTTGTGTTTTTGCGAGAAGCATTGAGATCCTCCAGGTGCGTATGACACCAAGGATGTACCGGTGGAAGTTTATTCATAGATTCAGCAATTTCATGTGTGTATGACGTGACTTATTTGCACATATGAAGCGAGTTAACACAAAATATTCTAGCGTTCAAAGTTTGACGTGAACACAACATAAGTCACCACTGAATTTTCATCTTTGATTAAAAATGAAGGCCCCTTTAAAGTATGAATCAATGAGTAACTACCATGATGCGATCACATTTTCTGGGGTTTTCTCTCAAAAACTTCTATAAACCATCCAAAATCACCATTAAAGGCACCTTAAAATGTTAAAATATATGAATTAATCCTTAAATATCACAGGAAAATTTATCCTATCACAAAACAATATCCGTATATCAATATGAAATTAAAAATGGTTCAACTAAATTTACCAATCTGGGGGGCCAGAGGTTGTCCAAAGGCATAAAATGGGCACTGATTAAGTATTAAATTACTAAATGCAGACAAAATTAACATAAACCAAAGTGAATATCCACAACACAAATAAATACAAACATGCACATTGAAATATAACTATTATAAACATTTCCAATCCATTCATTGATTGTAGAATAACTTCTGTAACCAAGGGCTACCTTCTTAGGCGTTTGCATTCTCTAGGAACATAGGCCATCAACAAAAGCCCTCCATCCTCTCCGGTCTTGTGCCTTTGTTCCAGTTGTTGCTATGACAGCCTCTATTTTCATAATGTCTGTGTCTTTTCAAGCTCATCCAGCTGTACTTACAGGGACAGTACTGTTACTATGTTTATAGCACATTATAACACTAAGAACTAATGTTAAGATTTTTTTTTTTTTTTTAAATGGGAAGATTTTTTTTAATTTCTAATGAAATTTAATGATTTTTTTCCTGGTACTATGAAATCAACTTTATCTATATAGCATTTTAAACACAAACAGAGTTGATCCAAAAGTGCTCTTACAGCACACACAAAGAAAAACCAAAACAAAAGAAAGAAGATAGACCCCAAAATTTGAATTATAATAGCATGTTTACAATAAACAAACCATACAACTGAACAATACCAAAACATACATGTTTAAAACAACAATGATTACACAAATAATTACAAATAAGTGTTAAAAATGATACAAAATAGGCTATCTTTTGATCAGAATTTTTCTGATGTATTTGTAAGAGTAAAATGAAGGACCTTGTGCTACATAAATCCTCTATTCTTCTACGTCATCTAAAGTGGACTGCAGTAGAGCCACGCCCCTTTTTTAACAAGCATGGTCAACCATGAGGAAAGGGAAGTGCCATGCATGTTTTAGTCTATTAATCACATTATTAAAGTACATAATTTGTGTTTAAACAGTTTTTAAAGTAGGGATAATATCAGTACATCATCAGTATTGGCTGATATTGGCTTTACAGTGAACTATCGGAATTGTCCAACATGCTTTTTCTCATTTTGCACAATGAATGAATATTACATACATTGTAGTTGTATATTTTACGAGCCAATCTGAATCGCTCTCAAGAACCCACTCTTCTCCCAACGCTCTATGGGCCCCCCCACCCCACAGGCCCCAGTGCAACCACACTGGTCGCAATGTTTGTATTTACGCCCCTGGTTTCATGTAATTACATGATCCTGTATCACATAATAATGTTTAGGCTACTAAAAATGTTTCTTGGTGTAACATAAAATTATTGTGATAACATGAACATATCTCGTAAAAACAATCTTGTTATATCAAGAAACTTTTCATCTTATTAGCCTACCTAATACTGATATTTTTGTGTGTGTTTTGTTTTCTGGCCTGGCAGTTTTACACTTCTGTAAACCTAGGAATAAAAAATTATTAAGCAGGATTTATAGTTGTGTGCAGACCCTACACACGTAACCTACACACATTGCCTACGCTGTTGTGAGCGTGGTGTGTCTGTGTCACTCTCCAGTTACACCTCCAAAACACTAGTCGGCATTGGAGTTTCTGTGAAGTGCTGTAAAGTTTAGTTGATTCAAAACACACCCAAAACACACATCAAACATGGATTAATAGAGAAAATTTCAAACATAAGTACACAAATTGGCTTCACTATAACTCTCAGGATTCACAGACAAAACACTTGTCTTTTGCTGGACACATTTTCCCCACAAATAGGCTACGACATGTTAATGTTATTAGCACAAACCTATGGCATTTTACACTGTATATTTTAGCCTAGCAGCCGGCGATCTTTTCCTCTTCTCATATTAAACCAGGGACAACGGCAGCATTTAACAAAGGTAACGGTACATACTTCGACTCTGTTACAATTCACAAGGTTCAACTACTAAACACATACTTTTACAGACAAATGTAACATGCTAAAGTTATTAGCACAAGCCTATGGCAATTTACATTGTATAAATTAGCCTAGCAACGAGCGGAGATTTCCTCTGCTCATATGAAGCCAGGATAAATCCCGAAGTATAAATCCCTTAAGGATAAATTACACACAAGACTTAAAATGCTATTTTTGTGGAGGCTTTACTGTCTTCATAATTATTGTTTCTTAACTGTAAAATAAAAGTAGCCTAAATAAAAGCTTCCTTTCTACAGAGGGAAATGATTTCAGCTTGCAAAAATAGACAGGAGGGCTGCAACTAGTTTACCACTAGTTACATTGGGTGCACATCAGGTTATGGCATAGGCTCTATAGAGCTACAGCCCAGCCTCGATTCAAACAAGCAGATTACCCAGGGCCCCAGTCCCACCTTTCCCTCACTGTGACGCCTCTGTGACTGTCCCAGTGAACAGACTAAATGGACTGAACGGAGGACTAGATTTGAATATCCCGCCCTGACAGGCGACTCCTCCGAACGCCACCGAGGCGGAGATTAACAACGCTCTCCAGTCCAGCACATGCAGCAGTGTGTCGGTAAGCTCCGCGGACACATTCACTGAAACACAACTAGCACTGGAACAACATTTAAAAGCAACTTCGGTTTACTCTAAAGCTTCAAGTTACTCGTAGGAATCAATACCGAAAAGCAGTGTTCCCGAGTGGAGCCTTTTATCCAGTTTTTCCTTTTTTTCCTGGAGATGTGTCGCTTGGAGAACTAGTAGCGGACAGCGCTGCACACTGAAGCCGGGATGAGTGGGAGCTCCGCGGTGTCCGGCGCGGCGCCCTGCCGCTTCGCCCACTACTTTGTTATCTGTGGGATAGACACAGAAACTGGACTGGAACCGGACGAATTAGCAGGTATGAGCTCACTGTCCTATGACGTCTTGTTGGCTTGAAAGGAAAAAGAACAACAGCCCTCCGGCTCAACACATTTTAGAAATATTGTTGACTAAAAATATTCCTCCACCGCTATGCCGCTAAAGCATGTGTATTAAATTCAGCGTTATTGTATTATGATATACACCACAGAACCCCAAGGTCAGGGACCTAAACAGATAACACTGTAAGTCATCACCGTGACACATACACCAAGTACCTAATTGCTGGCTCATTGTTTCTGCATAGAGTACATACACTAACAAAAGGATAAAGAGTTAGAGCAAGTTTATCTCAGCAGCACCTCTTCCCAGTGAGCTGGTGTCATTTAAAGTAGCCTACTGTTCGTTACTTTACAGCCAACATTTATATGTAGGGCTCATGTGGGTAGTAAATAGGCTTAAAAATAGGCTCTATATGGGATGTTCAGGGGTTCCATAATGGCCCCATGTCCATTAATCACAAGGGTGGGTTTACCTAGGTGAGCCAAATGTCATCAAAATCACTTCATTGTATGTCTTATTTAAAATTTGGTCAAAAACCATGAACTAACCAGCATGCACAACAAGAGTGAAAATCTTTTTTTCAACTCCAGAATTTCGTCTTCAACTTCTAACTTTAAGAAATCAAAGGGTAAGTTTTTAAAAAATCTAGTCACTCAGGAAGGCTCCAAGAAAAATATTTGTAGTTTCAGGGTCCAAAAACAAAACAAAACAACAAAAAATAAAAAGAAGTCACATCACAGCCACTCCCCCTCCTCTGATAAATAAAGAACAGTCCCTAAGGTAGATGAGCTTCTTGTGTGTCAACAGTGGCAGATCATCTCTATCTTTTCTAAATGTTACAATCTGATTTAAGCTTCCTGTGCTCTGCTGTACCGCTCTGACTCTGTCAAAGTGAAACTACTGTTCATAACGGTTGTTTTTACAAATTTTTTTCCTCACATAATTTGATATTATCTGTGGTCACATATACAGCATGTAGGCTCCTGGAGAAAACCCGTCATATTCTACTTGTCTTAACTGACTTTCATAGCAAAATAAAGCCTACAGGTTCTCCCCCGTGACCAGTATGTCTTGTTTGAGCGAAAACAGAGTTGCATTAAAGCCTGCCACGAGTGTGGTTAGAGGTGGTGATGTTGCCATCACAGCTGGAGGGACAGAGAGCAGTGTTGATTCAGGGGTTGCAAATTTAGAGTTTTGATTAATACCTGTACATTTGACAGGATGTTGTTGTGTTTATTCAGAGGTATCTGCTCTCCTCCTGCCACTACACCTGAGGTGGTGCAGCGTGTTTACTCTGTCACCAGATACATTCACTCATTGGCTCAGTTACTGTACTCCCATCCAATAACAGCCTATACATATCACCCCAGAGTGGGGTTTTGAGAAGCTTTATATTCTGGATCTGGCTCTAACAGCATAGAGGGCTGCATGCTTTGTTGCTGAGGTGTTGCATCATAGTCAGATTGGTAGCTTCTGTCTGCGTAACTGAGCCTCTTGGCCAAAGTTCAGAATAGTAAAGTGTTTATGTGTCAAAAGTGAGCTGTGATTGCACAATTTTGACCCGATATCAAGGGGACTTCTTTTAAAAAAAATGTACCAGTGGAAAATATGTTTTATTTGAGGGAGACATTTCGCAGATTCTTTAGTGTGTTTAAGTGTCAGTTAATGTAAGTGAGACTTTGTTTATGTCTTTGGGTGTGCTTTTGGATTGGAAGGATCGTATGTGTGTGTGTGTTGTGTGTGTGTGTTGCCCTCAGGCTGTTGCATGTCTCAGAGGAGGCACTGCTAAGTCTCCACCATACTGAGTCCATATGCCCCGCTGTCTGTTCTGATAACACCAATCACCCCAACCCAACTTGCTGAGCACAACTTGCTGTGTGGTTTAACTATTACAAAAAGCAATTAATTGACAATCAGAATAGTTTCAGAATAATTTTCTGTTGATTGATTAAAGCTAGGTTGAGCAGAAATCTGTAAAAGACAAGAAAGAGGGCAGAATGTTTTTTCATTGTACAGATACACGCAGCTCTTTTGCTGAGCCCTTTCTCAACTCGCTCTTTGTTTATCAGACCACAGTTAAGATAAGTATTAGCCGCTAGCCACCCTACAGTCCCTCTGCATCACTCCCTGCTGCTGTTGACTGCTTTGCCAGAAGGAGAGCGGAGACACTGTTGGTCGACAGCGTGTCACAGCAGACCAGTGGTCAGAGGCAGCGCTGGGTCTAACCTGTGTAACGGCAGCAACAGAATGTTTGCTGATCCGACAGGGAGTTGGGTCTGTCCGGTCCTCTGGAGCTGGGGTTTGTGCTGGCTGGATTCAGGTTGCTGCTGTTGCTGAATGGGGGTCTGTCTCTGGAGCTGCTGCCCACTCTCCTCCTGGTGAGGTGGTCTGTGGCAGCGGGGAGGCTTTAGCTAACGTTAGCTACTTAAATATGAAATTGAAGCCGCAGCTGTGTGCCTTTGGCACTAGTTAGCAAAAGGCTAAACTATTGGCAACAATTTATCTCCATTTCTAAAACATTTCACCGGTACTAACGTGTGTTTTATTTCATTTATTGACAGACTCTCTGTTAGAGAGTTTGATAAGTCCGTCTTCTTTTTTGGGTTGCTTTGTAGTGTAGGCAGTTGTTAATGATGCTGGAACAGCAACTTTCTCTGCAGGATTCCCTGCTATTGAATCAGGCTTTCACTAGGGGGAAGTGCACACACATCTGCACTTGTAAAACAGCCAGAGTTTACCACATATTTCTTTATTTGTGGCGGCTTGCCATGATTAAAACATCTGCTTCCACATTTTGATTTTGTATTTTTGGAGCTGGACCATAAGCGCTGTTGGAATACTATTCAGTTATTCATTGCACCATGCTCTCGGAGTGCAGAGTGTACTCTGGGCACAGATGGAGCAGCAGAACACCAGACCAGTGAAACTGAAACTTTACCGTTCATTGCGCTGGGTCTACTAAAAGTTTGCATTCACTCACAAACAGCTGCTCCTCTCATCCATCGATCTGATCTGATCAGCTCTGATTGGATCGACTCATCAATTATCCACCTTGGGAGTTTCGCAGTGTGTACTTTTCTAGTTTTCTATCAGACCACTTGAATTACAATAGGATCAAAGGTTATTATGGGATTTTTGCCCAGTGTACTAAAATTAAACTGCCTATCCCAGCTTGAATCAACTAATCATTACAGCTCAAGGTTAAACTTATAAAAGAGCTCTAGTTATTGAGATATCCATCAATCAGTTATCCACGTAAACAAATGGTTGTGTGAGGTGTTGATGATGCCATTATTGTTGTAGCTGCTGAGATCATGTGAAATGACACATCTTTAAGCGGGGTGAAGGCTAATCAGACATGATTAGCTGCTCATATTGCGACACTACCACCCGTGACATTTACAACTCCTTTTTCCTCTGATGTGTCCTCAGCATTTTGATTGTTTTGCTCAACACAGAATTATTATTTTTGCTGCTATTGTATGAAAGTAGAAGATCTATTCACAGAGCTGTTGGCCTTGGAAATGTTTTCATAGCAAGGCTTCCTGGGTGAATTCTAGGGGTGGAGGAAAACACTGATGCAGCATATTATTGCAATTTTTTTAATATATATATTTTTGTGTGGCAATATGGTATCGTCACACAGTATCTATCTTTTTATTCAATAAATTATTAATATCACAAATACAAATTAAACTTTAGGTAGCCCACTAGATATAAGTATATATAAATATAAGTTGCTTTTTCAGTCCTCTAAATAAATTTTGTTGCTACAAAAAAATGGAGTGAAGTGTTTTCCTTTGGGGACATAATTCACAGTTGAAAAAAGGTTATAAATCGCAATATATTAAATTTTTTTTTATCACAATACTTATTGCCACATATTTAAAATCACAATAATATTGCATCATGACTTAAGTATTCTGATAATATCGTATGGATATATTGAAGAACCTTCTCAAGTTTTTTACCCATGCATGCTGAGGTTGAGAATGTTCTGGGAAGAGGAAAAGAAATGAGCAGAATCACTGTTTGATGTCCTCTCATTCTTTAAGGTCCTACTGGGCAGTGAAATTCAGTTAATTCACATTTTGTTCTGACTCCTTTGACTCCTGTGAACAACTCTGAGGACCTTTGGATCCCAATTTTCTGTTTTTCCTCAACCACGGCCCTAAACGTACTAAAATCTGTACAGTACTGATTAGGATGTTCTTGGAGTCTCTGAGGCAGGGTGTTAACCAAAAGCCTTGTAATAAACAGGAAATTACAGTTGTAGCGATAATTAGATGAATCAATTGGTTGATCAACAGAGAATGAATCTGCAGCTATTTTGATAATCAATTAGGCCTATTAGTTTTAGTCCTTTTTTCCATTGTCTGGTTCCAGCTTCTGAAATGTTAACATTTGCCGTTTTTTTTTTGTCTCTCAAATCTTTGCATATTTAAGTGTTGGTTGAAGAATAAATGCATTTTGAAGATATAAGGACATAGTCCATAAAATATTATGATCAAAAATTCTTGTAATTAGGGATGTGGAGATATACCCGTTTCAAGTTATACCATGATATCAGAGTTGACAGTAAACTACAGTGTACATTTGCTTATCTACAATATTTAAAAAATGGACATTTAATTTCCCCTTCATTTTAATTATTTTCTAAGGGGAGACGTTTTACACATACTGTATTTTTATTAAGAAAATGGTTTCAAGTTGCAGTTATAGTAATGAAATGTTTGTTTAACCAACAATAACCCTTCTGTTTTCATTCTTTTAAGGGTCATTCTGACTGATAATATAAATTCTGTAATACTGTGAAACCGCAATATTTTCTGAGATGGCTATTGCACCATGAAAATCTCATACCATTGCAACCCTACCTGTAATACATCCACAGTTGTGTGTAAAACAAGCTAATTAGTTTGATCCAGCTCCTGTTGGAAGGTGGGTTCAGAATAGAAAAAGAAAAAGCACATTAAC